TACAGGTAAATAAAATATAAATTCTTTTACTCTTCTATCTTGTGCATTTTGTATGTTTCAAAATGGCATCTTCTAATCCTTAAAATCTTATATACTATCTATCAGGTTTTAGTTCAAGGGTATGATGTGTTTTGGCAGAATGTGTTCATATGGGCTTCACTTTCATTTGATTACATAATCTCATAAGTTGTTGTCCATAGTGAATAGTATGAATAAAGTAGGAATTAATAAATTTAAAACTGAAATAAAATAAATTAAAAAGTGAATATTATGTTTGCTTTCTAAATTTAATAATGAATAATCTATCTCTTTTACCAACTCATTTCTATAATATTGTTGTTTCACAGTGAGCCACATATTTGTAATTAACTAATTATGTACTATTGGCTTAACCGCTTAAGCCTTTGTGACCATGTTGTTGTCGGCCCATTGTTTTATAAATTCCTAAGACACCCCGTGTTAAATTTGTGCAATTTGCTTATTAGGATGTCATAAAACATTATTCCTAGATAAATTACTGACATATCTATCAATGGATTTTGTTATTTGGTTAATGACTTCATTTGGGTAAGTTTTCAATCTTTAGTATTTACTGGTTAGTGAAGTACAAAACGAATATTGAGTAGGACACTTGCAAATTATTTTGAGGAAGCAATGAATGTTAAGAAGTGTTGAAATTTGACATTTTAAATAGAATATTCATATAAATATCCATACAAACAGCTAAGTAAAATGGATACATTACAACACTATATTTTCAATCAGTATCAACTTACCAGAGTAGTATAAAACGTGGCTTCTAAATTCTAGTTCAATTATCAAAGCTACATTAGCTGTATTTAAAATGTCTGCAAAATCCCAATCTTAAAAGTGAAAACTCTTCTTTTCAACGTGTGTTATCTCCAACACCAAAGAGTTTTGAAAGCATTTAAAGAAGGAAAAATTGATAGTAATAATCCCAACTATTGGCGGTCCGTTCATAATAATCCCAACTATTGATTATTCCAGAATAATCCCAACTTTAGGTACCTTCCGCCAATAATGGTCCCTATGAATAAATTGTTGTAGTTTCTAAAGTGGATGAGATGAGATATAACAAGTAATTTCTATAAATAATCTCAACTTTTAATTTTTACGCTTAATTCTATTTAAAATTCACTTTTTATAGAGGTAATATCTGGTCATGGACCATTATTGGCGGACAGTCTTGTTGGGTTAATGGCCCAAGTTGAGGTTCAGCCCATTTACCCCTTCACCCGGACGTACGTCCACGCGGCCGAATGTCTGAAGAAGAGCCTCGGGCTCAACGGCCCATCCCGACGAACGTCTACGCGGTCGACAGGGAGCAGGCCCACGGGCCACCAGAATGACGACGAACGTCGTCAGAGCAAGCCCATAGCCGCTGGAGGCAATCCAGTCCACATGGCGAAAATCCCCAAGGGCCAGGGGACGAACGGCCCAATACCCTTTGCAAAATCACTAGGAGCAACTCACCTCCCCAGTTGGACGAACGTCCCCACTAATTAGGCGGGAAACCTAGATTCTAGCGGGAAGTGCATTTAATGCTGAAGATTTGGTGGTTGGAACACCAGCCATCCACGGTCCTCCACATCAGCGTAGCCAACTGCCTATTGGTGCTATAAATAGAAGCATTTATTTCATTGTAAGGGGTTAGCAACTTTCTATTCTTAGCACTCTAGCTATAGCATCCTTACTCGCAGCACTTCTACTACCTTGTAAGACGAACGACCGACGAGCCTTAGCGAAAGTATTGTATTAGGGAGTTATTAACAGATAATAATACCTAATCACTTACTTGCTATTTCCTGTTTCCCTTGATCCATCGCACTTGTTTGTTGGGCTAGTTTATTCACACACTCAATCCACTCAAAACTCTTGGGCTTACGTGTTAGACCCGAGGGTTGAAGGAATACCCCTCAACAAGTCTATATAGTTGGGATTATACAAAAATAATCAATAGTTGAGATATTTTCAGCGGACCGGCAATAGTTGGGATTATTATTTTCAATTTTTCCTTTAAAAAAAGCATCCGAAAGGAAATGTATAGTTTGGTGGTTTTCAATATGGTGATATGGTCTGAACTAGAGTTTGGTTTTGTTCATCCTAGAGTTTTTTTCTCTATTAATCTTAGTTTCCTTTTAGGGAAAACTGTCAAATTGGCTCTCGCAGTATACCATAAAAGTCAATTAAACCCCCCAACTATAGAAACGTTCAATTACGTCCTTGAACTATACAAAAAAGATCAATTTTTTAATTTAGTAGGTTTTTCCTAGTCAACCGGTCATGTACCTACGTGGCAATCCATGCGGCATACTTTAAATCCTTTTTCTTTTCTTTGTCCTTTCTTTTTATCTTTTTTTCCTTCTCCTCTCATACGAACAAGCATACCCCATTAGTCCATCGGTCCATCCCCTCCATCTAGGGCTGTTAACGAGTTGAGCCGAGCCCGAACACCTGAAGCTCGAATTCGGCTCAATAAGGAATTAATGGTGTTCGGCTTCGAGCTCGAAGCTCGACGAGCTTTACAAATGAGGCTCGTGTTTGGCTCGATAGGTGTTCAATGTTAGAATCGAGCGCTCGATAAGCTCGATAAATATGGTCGAATATAAAATTTTAGGTGATGCTCGTTAATACGCTCATGCTCGAATGATTCGATAAGTATTCGGTTCGTTAATAATCATATTTAAATTCATAAAATCTTACTAATTATATTTAAATTTTGATTACATATAAATTATATTTATTATTTCAGGGTGTTCGATAGGCTCTAGTTCGAACCGAGTCGAATACTATTATGTTCGAGCTCGGTTCGATTATTTTTTCGAACTTAAAACTCAACTCGGGTTTGGTTCGAAAGCTCGTTAAGCTCAGCTCGTTAGGTTCGAAACCGAGCTCGAACTCGAACAGTTCGATAAAAGCTCGGTTCGTTAACAGCCCTACCTCCATCATCATACCCCACCCTACCTCGCCTTCTTACTTTTTCCGCAGCCCGCCCCACCCCACCCCTCCTCCCTTTCTTCTTCTCAAGCCCACCCACTCCATCCCTTGTTCTTCTTCAACCCTCTTTAATCTGACACAAATCTCATATTCCTCTTATTGAAATTGGAAATGCTTCTCTCCAAAAGATTTGATATTTATAATGGGCAGGAACAATAGAGTAAATGAATGAGTTAGTCTTTAAACTCTGAATGACTATGAAATACGAGGCCGGGGAGAGGTGGGGGTGTGGCCGGTGGGAGAAGAAGAAGGCAGGGGGTGGGCTTAAGAAGAAGAACGAAGGTAAAGGGAGCGGCTGGGGCGGGCTGAAGATGAGAAGAAAAAAGAGAGGTGGGCTTAAGAAGGAGGGGGTGGGGTGCGTTGAAGAAGAACAGAGGGGGGAGGGCTGGTGCCGCGGGATGAAGGAAGAAAAGAAATGGAGAAAATTATGCCACCTGGATGGCCACATAAGCAGATGGCCGGTTATATGAGAGTTGACCTACTAAATTCTCTTGATCATTTTTGTATAGTTGATGGACTTAATTGGGTGTTTCTTTATTTGAAGGGCTTAATTGATTTTTATGGTATACTTAGAGGGTCAATTTGACGGTTTTCCATTCATTTTAAAATCTCCAATAGAAAGTGAAGAGGATCAAGGTCTCAAGGAGTATATGCAGAAGGTAGAGATTGAGCTCTCCAATTTGCACTGACATCATGACTGTAATCGATGATCATCTTATCCCCGTTTCCTCTAACAAAAATTATAATTTTTATTGCAAGATGTGAGGAGCGGATCTGTGACCACAATTTTCTATCTTTTAGTTATTTGTCAGTTTTTGCGTGGTTATTAACTCAATTTTGCATTTTAATTGCAGGAAAGGGGATTATTATCGGCCCCTTTCCAATTTTATATCTTTTAATTGCAGAAAATGGATTGAAAGAATGACTACAAGAGTACAAGACCATACTTTATTTCAGTTTGGTTCAGTCCGATTCGGCTCAAATTTGTTATTTTGTGATGATATATTAAGATTTTATTGATTTTTTAAGTTCGATTTGGTTGTATACGGTTTGGAAGAAGTTCTATCAAACTCAAATAATCAAAATACTACTACGTATATGATTCACTTTCGGTTCAGTTTAGTTAGATTTGATCAAATCGAGCTGATTTGTCTACCCATAACTTAAATATAGCTGCAAATGTTTGCTGGTAGAGATTTATAATGCACATGTTACAAATCTTCTTAGTTGGCCCTTTAATGACAAATGTGATGGTAAATTGTAAAATATACATACTTTTGAGCAAAAAATATACATACTTTTGAGTTAAAATATATATTGGGCATTTATATAATCGTGTGAAAACTAGTATGAAATATAAACCAGAAACCTGGTCACCAAAGAGCAGCTATGGAAGCAAGTCTAACAACATGATCCGCCTATTTCCAATATCCCACATACTTTGTCGAGTCATTGTTTGGGGGCCACCACCGGCCATTGAGTTGTGAATTCAGACTTTTTTGGGGGCCACTAGATGGTAAATGGCTAATACTTTTTTCTCTTCAAAACGGAGTTTTTTTCCGTATTAATGTTAATTAATTAATTATTTACGGAAATAATGCTGGAAAAAAAGTATTTACCAAAATACTGCTGGGCCTTAACCGTGGTCAGGACAAAGTCGCCCAACCGTTGGGCGACTTATAAGTCGCCAAACGGTTTGGCGACTTATAAGTCGCCCAACGGTTGGGCGACTTTGCCCTGAAATATGGTTTCAACCGAGCAGCTACTGCCAGCCACGCACGATCGTGCGTATTTCCTTACGCACGATCGTGCCTATTACCTAAAACACCAAATCAGCTTGTTTTTCGCCCCGGTTCAATCCAGACCGATCTGTTTGCTACAAATAAGGTCTCCTTTCTCCTTTTGAAGTGTTACAAACTAGATACAACACATGATAATCACATACTCTCAACAACATAAAAAACACCTTATAAACACCGCTAAAAAACTTTCAAATCATAACCGGTATAACACAGTTCAATCATCATATATGCCATAACAAATAATCATGTAATATTCATACTCGAACACATCAATACAACATAGAATACTTAACAAGAGAAAATACATCAAAACTTGTAAATTGTTCCTACAACATCTATTGCATAAGAAAAACTATAATACAAAAGACAAACTACAAGTTCCCATCATCAGCTTCGTCATGGAGATGTTGCTGCTCATGTCTACGCCTACGGCGTTGTCGTGGTTGAAGAACCACTCTCTCATGTTGCGTCTGGGATGATGAACCCGCGGCTGCACTAGACGTGGATGCCATCTCCTGAGATGCGGGCATGTGTATAAGATGTCCGTAGTCTACTCGACCCAAGACATCTGAGCATAACGAGGCAATGCCTGTCAGAGTCTGTCCATACATGTCCACATCAGGAATATCAGTCACAGTGGCAGTAGCCCGCTGATGTATGCGCTGCAAAGCTCGGGTCTGAAATACGAAACACAATTACAATTACATTCAAATACATACAAGTATTACATAAATAAAATGACTTACTTTACTAATTAGTAATATACTCACCGTAAGATGCAATGCCAATGAGCTAGGCTGATAATGATGAGTAGGGAGTCTGAACGAAGGAGACACAAACAACCGAGTGATGCTGTAGTACCATCCCATGTAATCTCCTGAAACTGATGGCACATATGTGGGTGTCCCAGCCACGGCTAGCTCAGCTCTCCTATCCCACATAGTCACGTATCGGACATGTCTGAGTGCATCCCTACTCATTTCACCTATCTTCTTGAACCCACCATCAAATTTTTTTTTCTGATGTTGCCGTGCGGTCCACACAAATAGATTTTTTAAATGAATGTCTTTGAAATGAGTGTGCACATTTGAAGCAAGATGACGGATGCATAGCCTATGATGCGCATAAGGCTCCTCCCAATTACTTCCAACCTCATTCATTGCCCTAACAATACCTCCATGTCTATCTGAAATGACACACAACTCCCTGTTAGTCACAAAATGCCTAATACATGCCATAAACCATGGCCAACTGTCTCCATTCTCGGATTCAACAACTGCAAAGGCGACTGGGAAAATTTGGTTGTTCGCATCACAACTCATGGCCACGAGCAATGTGCCCTTGTACTTTCCATACATGTGTGTGCCATCAATAGTAAGTACGGGTCGACAATGCTTAAAACCAGATATTGATGCCTTGAATGCCCAAAAAACTCTTTGAAACATCATATAACCTGTCGCACCATTGGGGGGTGGGTACCACTGAACAACAGTTCCTGGATTAGAATGTTGGAGCGCTGTCATGAAACGGGGCAATTCGAAATATGACTTTTCCCAACCGCCAAATATTTGTGCTATGGCCTTTTGCTTCCCCATCCATGTTCTCCGGTAAGATACCGTATACCCATATTTTTCCTTCAACATCTCGATGATAGTATGCACTTTAAGAGAAGGATCAGTGCGAATAATGTCAACCACATCTTTACAGATGAATTCTGATGTCAAGGCCACGTGATCTGTAGTGTCGATGTTGCCTACACAAGAAGCAGAATGAGGTCCAGAATAACGCACAATTGTGAAGGTGTCAAGGTTGCCTTTATTCTTTGTGGCGCGTATTCTCCAGGGGCATTGACATTCTTTCTTCCTTTTGCATTGTGCCACCCATTTGTGTTTGTCGGACTCTATCACCCGATAGAATTGGTTCCGTTTGATAGAATACAAGCTCACCATATTGATGACTTGTTCTTTGTTGTCAAACTGTTGACCGACCTCAAACTCACCATCGGGGGTAAACCTTTTCTCACCTGATCCACTCATCCACGCATCAGTAAAACCTTCAGGGAGATCATACATTCTAGTGAAGTGGCTAGACGGGGCAGTTGATGTCACAGTATCACCATCATCTTCATCAGATTCTGTCATGTCGTCACCATTGATGTTCTCGTCTGCATCATCATCACTTCCCTGCCCATCCACAAATGATGCACCGTTGTGCAAATACCTGCCATCCTCCTGTATAACCATGTCTAGTACAGGAACCTTTGACGACTTCCCTGCATTCACCCCTGCAATGACATCATGCCTAGATACACCAGCATTTGATGTCGATTGAGTAGCATTAGCGTCAAAGCATTCCTCAATGTATACCTCCAGCGACGACATATCCTCCATCTGAATTATGCCCCACATATTTGTTATAGCTAGCTCATCAATGAGCGGCATAAGCATGTACTTTCCCCCGTTCATGGGAAATTTCATTTTCAACCGCAATGAACGGCCGGGATGAATCATTGTCGCTGCATGTATTTTTTGAAGGATCTCGACCATGCAAGCGCCACGAGAAACCATGACAAAGCTCGTTCTGCCACCTTCATGGCATATTTGCCCAGCATCCTCATAATAGTTCCCTCCCCAATGACACACGATTGGGAAGCTTGAGAAATCCATATTCTAATAACAATTCATTGTCCAAAATTCAATTGAGTACGCATCAATATACACACTTTATACACATTCAAATTTCCTAAATAAAAAAGCTACCAAAATTGTAATATATTCAAAAGTCGAAATTGACCAACAATTCACATCTCAATATGAAACTACCCAAATTTTGATAACTACATTCAAGTACGTCTACATTTCAATATCCAAATTTAGCTAAAATCAAGTCTATCCAAATGCCCAAATGTCAAAATACACATTAAAATTTACAATCAATTTAAAATCAAATTTCAACATTTCATACATATCCACATTTCACAACAACTGAATTCACAATCAATTCATAATACAAAAATTCGAAATTTTTAACATTCAAAACCCTAGGTTCAAAATGAGATGAAATGGATTTTGATTTACCTAGAAGAAAGAAGAAAGAGAGATGAAGATGGAGAAGGAGGTTCGCCGGAATGGGGTCGACGGAGAAGGAGGCTCGCCGGAGCTGGAGATGGGTCGTCCTTCGTCGCTCGTCGCTCGTCCGTCGTCGCTGCAGCAGAGGTTTGGGGGGATTTGGGGGAATAAACGCGTTCTGTCTGCGAGCCAACCCGTCTGCCTATTTAATAGGTAAGTCGCCCAACGGTTGGGCGACTTATAAGTCGCCAAACCGTTTGGCGACTTATAAGTCGCCCAACCGTTGGGCGACTTACCCCGACCATGGTTAATCCAGCAGTATTTTGGTAAATACTTTTAACTCAGCCCTAATTTCGTAATTAATTAATTAATTAACATTAATTAGAAAAAAAACTCTTTTTATTTGTACACGAATTGTTAGAAATAAAATTGTTGCACCTTTTTTATTTGTACACGAATTGTTAGAAAAAGTATATCAAAATTTATAACTTTTTATTATCTTTAATATGACACCAATATTACATATATAAAAATGAAAAAAAAAATTAACACCATAAAAAACTTCTGTTTTTGAAGTGTTATAACTTGCTCCAATGGTTACAAAATACATATCAAAATTCATAACTTTTATACCTTCCATACAACATCAATATCCTAAATATAAAAAAACAATCTATTAATTTGTGCAATTTAAATTCGTTATTTACCATGCACACTAGTAATCTGCAATGTTAGCTATCAATTTTATTTTATTATTTACCTTTGTATTTGAATTTGTGTAGCTTTGTTCTAAACTATCACTCGGATAAATAGCGTGTACGATAAAAGTGCGACTCTTAAAGTATTAAATTAATAGAATTAATTTTATAATTTTATTTATGTAATATTCATGTCATGTGAAAGATAATAAAAGTTATGAAGTTTTATAAATTTTCTGTAATAACAGGAGTAGTACAAAATAGAAGTAATATTCAGAGTAACAATCTAAAACACATAAGTTTTTAAGAGCGCTATATTATTATTTTTACCTTAAAAATGTAAAATTGGTGTAATATGAAAGATAATAAAAAGTTATAGATTTAAATATTTTTTGTAACAATCGCAATAATACAAAATCAAAAGTTATAGCACTTTAGTTTTGTTAAGTGCTACATTACTTTTTTAATTTATCTATGTAATATTGGTGTCATATAAGAGATAATAAAAAGTTAGTAATTATGATATTTTTTTTGTAAATTGGGATACAAATAAAAAAGTTATAGTATTTTAAAGAATAAAAGTTCTTTTAAAGTGAGTAATTATTATATTATTTTTATATATGTAATATTGATGTCATATGAAAGATAATAAAAAATTATAAATAATGATATATTTTTTATAACAATCGGAGTAAAATTTAAAAAGTCATTGCACTTTTAAAAAAAGAAAGAAATTTTTAGTAGTGGGACCCAGGACGATTGTTCATCCCTTTGTCCTGCGCCCATTAGCGTACTTCTCACACAACAAATCGGCGGTTCTATTAACTGGAGTTAACCATAACAGCATTTTCGGAAATAAGTTTAACCCAACCTTAGTTTGGGAAATAGTTTTTTATTTAGTGTTATTCTGGGAAAATACTCAAATAAAAAAGGTGCAACAATTTTAAAAATTAGTTGATTTTTTATTGGTGGGACCCAGGATTATTATTGAACTCTTGTCATTGGTTGGTTGCTACATTCCTACGTAGTACGCACTACGTGTTCAGTTATTTAATACGGAGTATGCATACACCGCCAACTAGTTCGCGGGTCTCACCGGAGTTTAGCAACAGCAAATTGGGAAGTAGTTTAAACACAACCTTACTTTGGGAAATACGTAGTATTTTTTTATTTGACATTATTCTGGAAAAAAACTCAAGCAAAACTCACCAACTGTGCGTCTTTTTCAAATATTAATAAAATGATCCTCACTTAATTTCTTATTGAGAAGGAAAAAGCTGTTGGGTGGGATTCAATTATACTAGCACATTCTAAATATATTGATTAGTATTTAGTAGTACATACTTCCTCCGTTCTTTATTAGTTGCAACATTCACTTTTCACGTTTGCTGATTCACAACTTTAACCGTCATTATATTTAATTATCTATTAGCAAAAAACTTTTAAAAATCAGATTATGAAACTTTGTAATGAGATGAATTCAACAATATTTTTCAAAAAAATAATAATCCATATACATTAATGAATAAAATGTAGTCAAAGTAGAGTACACGAATAGTGTGTAAATTCTCATGTTGCAACTATTATGATACGGAGGATAGTACTACATATATTACCCTTTATGTTCCTGTATACTACGTAGTATTTAGTACTTAGTACTATGTTGCGTGGTTTAAGATATGTTTGTAGGAGTATATACACTTCACATTTTAGGAATGTAACATTTAAAGGTAGATTTTTTTCATACTTCTCTAGTACCGCACGTTTTATTAAAGTATAAATATTAATGTAACTATTTGAGTCGATTCTTTATTAAAAAGAACGTGAAATTAATTTGAAAAGACCCCAATACGAGAGTTTAACAACTATTTTTTTTTTAACCCGGAAGGTAAACCACCAAAATCAGTGGGGTAGATGCCGGGGAACATCTACCAGAGAGTTTAACAACTATTTAGGATCATATGGAATATTTGTTGACATTGAGATAAGCTAAGGAAGAGTAGCTCATCAAGATCAAACCAACAATATATGTTATCCTTATCACGAGTGTTTATCTTAGGACGTCTTTCTCATGTTTGGTAAGTACATCTACTAGTTGTCTACTTTCCAAAGTCCATGAGCCAGTTCTATGTCCGATTGCATAATATCTCATAAAACGTGGGCTCACGTGATCGACT